CGAATTCTTCGTCAACTTTTGCTACGGATGCATATAGGACTGGCCCTCTTTGGGCGAGAAACCGGTCTGGCATCTGGTTGATAGTACTCTAAAGACAGCCTGCATCGAGGTGAAATGGTCTAGACCAGGTTCAAAACAAGTGCAAATAATTTGCATTAATCGGAAAACGAGTTACCTGAATTTTGATGTTTGTTGACTGCATCACACACAGAATGAAGTGGAACATCATCATCAGTCGTCAGTTTCAGACGGTCGAACTAACCGAGTTCTGAAAGATTTAAATCATTCTGGGTGACGCAACAAATCCCGGTGAATTTGATATTATGGAAAGAAACACTGCATTCAAGTTCACCAGTCAGTTTAAGGCGCCCGCCACATGCGCTGACAGCAGTTTGAGAAGTGTTTGTAGTAGGCGGTGGTCTGGTGATATCATCATCCCAAAGTTTCTCTGATATGACAGTAATGTCAGAGGCGGTATCTAACTGCAGTCGTGTATCTGGAGATCAATATACTTCCGTATACCTGGTGTTGTAACTTGAACATGTTACCCGGAGACACATTGACCTTCTAGGAGATTTAGGACTCACTGTGGATTGAGATTTCGTTGGATTTCGGTATCTGCGTTTGTGTGGTTGACGAAATCCGTCTGTCCCCATGACCGATTATATTACACTTGCGTCAACGACGATGTTTGTACGAAGAGAATCTTATAAAATACCACTCTCCACAGTGACAGCATGATAGTGGTGGGGTGTTCCTTGAAATATTTGCTGAGGTTGAACCAGTCAGTACATGTAGATTCACGCGAAACATTAGGAACAGATGGGTGGGGACTGAATCGTGACGAGCGAGTTATTCTCTGTGTCATAATGCACGGATGTCCAGAGCTTCTCGAAGTTACCGATTCGACCAGGTGTGTATCCTTCTGCAAAGATTGATCAATCAGCCGTTGGTATTCCTCAGCTATACCATGTTAAGTTAACTTGGAATTTTCTTCTAGCTGATTGAGCAGTCGTGTTCGAATATATCTGTGAAACAAGGGGACTGAATACTGCATATGAGAATCATGGCTTGGAATAGATAGATCATCTGTTAAGGACCTGAGTCGAAATCTCTCGCATTCTCCGTTGACTGTAGCAAGATGAGTGAAGAAATCATCAATGTCGTTCGTCGTCATTGTAGGGCAACAATATCGGTCGTATTCTGACTAGTGAGGAGTGGTTTCCAAGATGCTCACTCAGCAGTAGCTTTATTGTATCATCGAAACACTTGTCGCGCGTGGTTGGTTGGTTTTGCAGGTAGAGTCAGATTGCAATATCTTTCATATTCAGCTGGACCCAATTTACTCAGTAACAATCGTACCTTCCAAGCATCGTCTTGTGAGGCGAGGTCAGCTCTAATCTAGTCTTCATAGCGCGTATACCATGTGTGGAAAGTGACATTTGCGTCTGGCTCATACTCGGACTGAATGATAGTACTCGCGATTCCGTCGTCAACTGATGGTGCCCGGTGATGTGACTCGGAGTCCTTGGCGGTGATGCGGTGAACCAGTCAATTTGGTTGGTGATAGGCGTTTCCATCGATCTGATGTGTTGGTCGAATGATAATTCCGATGTTTGTAGGAAAGATAGTTCTCCCATCGCCAATATGTATGTTTGTTGCGGAGTGACGGAGTATAACAAGTACGTGACTAGCGAGATGCAGCGGATGATGGCGGGACGACTGGTATTGCTCTTGGTAGTTGTTAAATTTCCCTGACTCGAAGAGTGAATTCAGGAGATCCACACACGTCGTTGATGAAGGATAGATGTATTATTATTATTATTGGGAAAGTTAACTGTCACACAAGAGTGTGTGTGAATGAAGAGGAGTGTCAATCAATTGTACAGTACAGTAGAGTACCGTGCAATAGTAAACAGTATAAGCAAATACCTGAAAACATATATGAAGCAATAAGATAAATAAAGTGATATTTTTTACCCACCCTACCTCCAATCCAACTGGATTGTGATTGGCTGCACTGTCATGTGACAAAGGTCATCCATTGTTATTTAGTTGGTAGACGGACAATATAGATTGTCAGTCATCACTGACTAACGATCAATAGAGACGGATAGCAATCCATATCAGATCGGCCAACAAAGCTGATATTGTGGTGAGAGCTGTCTGCTAGCCAAAATTGTAGACAACAATTGACATCAATGTTTACGTCCCTAATCGGGGTCATGATAAAAAGCAGTAACGAAGCCAAACCTTGAGGAACTCCCATTGTGGTGAGAGCAGGCTGCTAGCCAATTGGTAGACATTAATCTACGTCAATGTCTAGGTCACTAATATTGGCCGTGAGAAAATATGAACAAGGCTGATTCAACAACTAATCACAGCAAACTTAACATGGGCAAATATGATTCGCAGATAGATGGCTCCACTTTTCGATGTTACCCGAAACAACCAATCAGAAGCCTGCGTTTGTCTGCTTAACCTCCGAGAAACAACCAATCAGAGGACCGCGTCTGTCTACTTGTATAAGCTATAATAATGTACAGGAAATATAAATAAATACGTGTTCATTTCCGTAATAAAACGATCTGTTGCCGGCCCTTGTCTTCTGTTGTTACATCATAACTGATCACAGTGGACTTAACGTGTGCACGGTCGATTCGCAGATATACAGTTTGAGTTTCTAAGAAACGGCCACAAAGAGACGACAGAATAACCTTCAGCAAGAAAACAACAACCAATCAGAAGGCGTTGCTTCTCTAGTGACAATAATGGAATAATAATTTACATAAAAATCTATAAATATCTCTTGATTTTCACAATAAACGCTGTGTTCCCGGGCCCTTATATCTTCTGTCGCTACAACATCACGTGACTACATATCAGAAAGTTGAGCGCTTAAACCAATCATCAACCACCCTTCCTTGTCTATACATTTTAGAAAATTGTAATAGGATTATGAATGGTTATTTCTGATCTTTAATCAATGCAACATCTAGGAAAATATATATCAAAGAAGATTCGGATTGTTTAGCACAAACGTCAAATCGGTCAGTCAGTTCTTCTATATGAGTCAGAAACTTCGGGTGGTGTGTCACGCAAGGCATTCCCATCAGCCACCTATTGTAGACATTTGTCAACACAACTGCCTCCGCTGACTCTATACTGAATAACAAATGACCGGCAACAAACCAACCAAGAGGAGACGGCATAACAAATATGCATAAAAGGATGGAGATGGATGGGGAATACGTTGAGAACGCCGTCGAATGACATCATGCACAATGCATGCCATCAGTAGAGTGGAACCCTATTGGGAAGCGACGAATTGGACGTCAGAGTGACACGAGGAGATCATGTGAGTTGAATGGGGCGATGAGAGATTATGGGTCAGATTATGCGGTCAACCAGCTGAGCAGGGCGGCAGAGAATAAACCAAGGTAGAGATCAGTTGTTTCCCTCAGAACCCAAAGGAGTAATAATATTAATAATAGTTTGAAAATGTACTGTACTTCATCATAAACTGTTATTTCAGTATGAATCACAACAAAATTTCTATCAACGACAATCAATAAATAGATGCAAAGAAGCTACCGTTACTCTAAGTGTACACAGCACACTGATATCTTTTGGTGTTTCAGCAGTGTGTTGCACAGTTTCATGATCTGTCTGTTTTCGACATAAAACAACTTTGCACCGATGTGCACCAGTTCAAGTCGCCACACTTTCTCCCTCCTTGCAGCACACAAAGCAAGAGAAGAAAGTAGAAGAAACGCATAATAGAGACAGTAAACAAAGGTGTGAGACAAAGGAAGAGTAATAACGAAGAACAATACAGTTTCATTGGAAATCATAAGTCACAAGGAGTGGACGCATCTGCACCAGCCATTGAGAACGATTTTGAGCCATATCACCAATTGTTTCCAACCATTGGTTTTTACCGTCCGAGGACCCCAACCAGGAAATCTACACCTTCTTCCGTGGCTTAAACTAACTGTTGTGGATTTCATTGACTCGTCACATGTTTTGGTTTGACCACCGCTAGCCAACTCTTTTCCAGCCTGACCCTATATATTAGCTAACATTGCCCGTCAGTTGAGGAAGGCGATGACTAGGCATACGTAACAAATGTCCTAACCATCTTAATCCATGCAACTTCACAACCTCGTCTATTGATTTCCCCTCCTTACCTAGAACTCGACTCACGCCTAACCTCAATATTGCTCACCTTATTATGCCACTTCACACGGGAGATAGAACGCAGGCACCTATGATCAAAGACAGCTAATCTTTTCATGTCCTCCACTCTCAATGGCTACGTGTCGCTCACAGCCATAAAGGAGGACGGAGTGGACTCCTGAGCAGTGCACACACCTTTTGGTCGATAGCCGGATATCACGTCTACGCCAGAGACGGCGTAAACTGGCATATGCGAAACTATCCCTCTGTATCCGTACTGAGATTTCATCAGAGATCAACCTGTTGGCGTTGGCTGATGGTACTTCCCAAATAAGTGAAGCGCTCCACGCGCTCTACCACTTCATTCCCTATTTCTAAACTAGGAGTCAGTGTAGTCTAGTCCTGTAACATCATCATTTGGCGGGAGCGAATCGCATGCCAAACATTCGTAGATCACTCACTGCTCAAGGTGTTTAGAAGACTCTGCTTCATTTTGTCACAGCGTTCTCGCCTAGAAGGACTATATCGTCTGCATATTCTAAGTCAACGAGATTATTACCCCCCTGGTAACAAGTCAATCCCTGAGTCTCTAAAGTACATCTATGATGAAATTGAATAGAAATGGGGATAATGTGCATCCCTGACGGATACCACTAGTAGTCACCACTTCAGATGACAACTCGTCGTAAGCCTTCATCTGGCTGGCTGTATGAGTTCAAGTAGAGTGAGTGCTTTAATCAGTGCGAAAAAGATGGGAAAAGAACAAACAGACGCAGAATGCACACATGCACAGACACACAATAAAGGAAAACATGAGAAACTGCTTCGTTAAATGCTTTATTTAACTTGAAGTACAAAATTGATTTATTCTTTTAGTCCTTCTTTTCCATCATCATCATCACCATCATCATCATCATCATGGATAACAAAACTAATTAATATCTATACACAACACATCCTGGGAATTTTAAGATTCCTGACATATCTCTTCTTCGACAGCAGCACAACTTTCGCGAACTTGACGGAGGCAGTCATACAGTATTGATTTTTTATTCTCACCTAATGGTTCTACTTTGATGAAAAGCTAAATTAAAAAGGGAAAAAAAATGACGAAAATACCAAGGAGATAAAAACATCATAACGAAATACACACCTAACTACCTGCCTACCTACCTACCTCAGAATCAATGAATTGGCAACAAAATCAAACCTAATCTCTATATAGCCAACACAACACCAACATTTCTGTCATGCATTAATTGAGAAGAAAATAACTCACCTTTAATCATTTCATTTGAAAAAATAAGTGACAAATGATAGGATTCTTTTCATACAAAACAAAAGGAGAGGTCATATACTGGGAAAATTTTGCATCCTTCATAGAAATACAGTAATGCGAGGTCTATACTTACTTACTTTACTTCGGCTATCTCCTACGGGAGGATGAGCCGGCTTCATGAACGTCTCGAATCATCGCTGCCCAGGCGCGGCAATTTGTAAGAGAGTTCATGAAGTCTCATGGGAATTTGGTACGAGTGATGTCCCCAGAATCGCTCGGCCTTTTGTTTGAGAGTGCAGCTCTAGCCTTTACACAGCCAAGTGTGACCTACAAGGCAGTAGGAGTGGAGTAAGGAGTCCACTATCCATTGGCAGCCGGTGACCGGAGTTCGGTTCATACGCCTTTTTGAATGGGGCCAGACATCCAGGACATCCAACAAGCCCTTTGTCCATACGTCTGCCGGTGAGCTCTAGTGAGCTTCATACGCCAGTCGTTGGAGGTTTGGAATCAGGGTTTAGCCATCTCCCCTAGACTGTCATCCAATGGACAGTCAACCCGGTGGAGAGCGCCGGGTATCCGAGGTCTATGCCCAACCTTTGCCACTTTTTCTAGGTATAAAGACCACTGGGCTAGTAAACTAGGCACGGTTACAGTCGACTGACCACCAGTTAGTAGCCAATATATATATATATATATATATATATATATATATAGTCCTTTGTTTGGTGTAGACTGAATTCTATATGTCAGTTAGGTTTGCAATGTGGCCACCATGCACGCTACTAGATGGCTTGCCATCATGGAGCACTGTTATTTGAATGTCAGTCTTTGTAGAGTAAGTCAAAAGCTTGAGGAGGAATAACCCTACAGGACACTAGCCTGTTTCCCTCTAGTAACATTTCGGTACACAACAGGGCGCCCACTTGGTGAAGTTCAACAATAGCTGCCCAGTAGTGCGAATGCTCCAATAACCTTGAACGCATGCTAGCCGTTGGCTAACGGCACCTGTTATTATCATAGCTGAAATATCAACAGTATTCACCCAGATCACGTTTTTAAGTACTGTTTAGACAATGTGTTAATAGCTCGTTAGGGTTAGGATTAGGGTTAAGATAAGTATTGGGGTTAGGGTTAGGATCAGGGTTAGAATTACGGTTTGAATAAGGTTTATGATTAGGGTTAGGATGAAGGTTAGGGTTGGTGTTAGGGTCAGCATCAAGGCTAGGGTTATAATTAGGGACAGACTTATTGTGGATGTCATTTATTTTAGTTTGTTTTATTATCCACATCTTCATGATACGTAGTCATCGATCCTCTTACTGGAAACCACGGTGTAATTCAACCGAGGGCTTTTGGGGCAAACTGCACAGCAGGATAGGCGAGATGAACGATTCACAAAAACAGCTTATCTTTAGTCACCTCGGTCAATACATGTACAGAAACTAGTCGAACTTAGCAACTGATACTCCTCATTATAACTGGGAGGTATTTTTTAAATCATGTCAGAGAAAGATAACCTTTTAAATGTGTTTTCATGAATTTTCTTGTAAATATATACGTCATTTTTCATGCAAAAAACTCCTTATTTTTATGATTGGTCGGCTGGAAGTCACCCGTGCATTCGCATCTTGGCGTCATTCTACCTGCTGATCTTTCCTGGTCGTCTCATATCTTGATGATTTCTAAGAAAATATTCCGTCTTACCTTCTACATCAAGAAGTTAAGACATTCTGGAATAACCCAACCCAACCCTTACTCTTACGATTCGTTAACTCTTCCATCCTGCCTATTATTCTCTATTGTTCCCCCTTAATTTTTCCAGGACTATACCTTATACGCAGGATGTTAACGGTTGTCAGCAGGGTAAGTCACAGGGTTCCACTTAACCAGCTTGTTAATATTCTGGTCGACAGGCACATGGACTCACGTGAAAAATGGGCTAAATCCATTCAATCTATCTAACTCTCACCACTATCTTCATTCACAACTCTCCCCTTGTATCTCACCAGGCAGAACCAGGAGCCTATATAGAAAACTATATGCTCGTACGAGTAAATAGAAAAACTCAACCACACCCTCCCTACTTAGCTCGTGTTCTGTCCGATAAAGAAAGCATTAGGCATGATACCTATAACTTATTCAATAGTCAGTAGAACAACTGGATCTCGTCTTTCCAACTCATATCATTTATAGGTACAACGTTTTTCTTTCTTTCTTTTCCTTTTCTCTCTTTTTTGTGTGTTGTTATGTGCTGCTTTGTTTCTTTCCTCTGCTTACGCCAGTAAATATGCTAGTTAGCATCTACTTTTCTAACACCTTCAAACATTCTGTTCACTTTTGGCTTTGCTACCTATGTGCTAATATGTTGTCGTCAAAACTAACCGAGATTACCCTTAATCTATGTAGAATTTTATTTATTGTTAATGTACAAACTGGATGCAATACTGTAGTGGAATGCTGAGAATTCCATTCTGTATCACAAGTACTGTTTTGGAATAAGGCAAATTATTATTATTATTACCCCTTAAGACGCTATTGTTGAACTGTGCCAGGCACTTTTTACTGTTCATGTACCAAGTTAGTTAATTTTAAAACACATTAGAAATTTTTAGAAAACACCAACCCTAATTTTTTTTTAAGAAAATAACTGCGCATGTAATTTTGTTAGATACACGCACACACACACACGTACACACACAGCGTAAATATCAAAGAAGACAGATAAAATAAATAAACAACCCACAAACTAACCTCAACACATTCAAGTAGGTCGTTAATTTCAGATGGAGTCATGCTGAATTTATACGAACCTGAACAATAATCCAAAGCACTCACTGTTTCTGGAGGGATTAAATCCACTCTTGATTTCATTTGAACAGCAAAAGGACTAGAAGGTCGAATAAGACAAATTAAACGCAGTAACCAGCCTAAACGATCGTAATGTCGATGAGCAAGTGCTTCATAGATAAGAGGTCCAGATGATCCCAATGAAGCAATCATATATAAAGCCAAGGGACCATAGTAACGTGTATGTCGTAGTAAAAGTAATGGATTCACTTGACAGTCATCTGATGATTGATTCGTATTGATAAACGGAGTCCAAGCTAACTGATTGACACGATCATAAACACGATGACATATTCGACTGAAATTAGGATCATCTGGTTCGAATTGTACGCAGGTTCTATCCAAAATATACAAGAAAGAACCTTGATCTAGAAGTGCCTATAATGAAACAAAGTAAAAGGTTGAAATGGGTAAGATGATTTCAAAACCGAATAAAACTGTTATGAAAGCTTTTACAGTAACTTCTATATCAAAGTTTAAATGAGGTAAGTGTCAAGAAAAAGAAAAGAATTTCGCTTACCATTCATCTCCGCTATTTTCATCAGCACGTCTTCTTTGCGACAACAGAAACTCACGACTGCAAACTGAGAAAGGTCTAACCCTGCGCTGAGGTTTAAAGGACAGATAATAAACAGAAGTGTGAGGCAAAAAGTAGTCATATGGCTGATGTAAGCTAACTATTGCAGATTTCCCTGACTGGTGAAGCCATGTTTTGATTTGACCAGCACTAGCTTTTTGCCAACCTCATCCATCCTATATCACTCAGCTAACTTATACTGAATGTTAAGGAAGGCGGTCGACTGCACGACGGTATGAGTAACACATGTCTTAGCCTCATTTCTCTCAATCGATGTAACTTCACAACCACCTCGTCGATTGATTCCCCCCTCCTTACCTAGCACTAGACACATGCCTAACCCCAATGCTGCTCACCCTGTTATACCACCACCAACCACCTAACACACACGGGAGATGAAACGCAGACAACCAAAAAAGCCAGCCAGGCTTTTCATGTCATCCAATCTCAATGGTCATGTATCAGTCACAGCCATAAAGGAGAACCGAATGGAGTGCTGCTGACCGATAACCAGCGGGAAATCACGTCTAATACACCAGAGATGGCGTAAGTTGGTGGGTGTATGCCAAGCAAGCCTTTCATATCCGTGCAGAAATTTCGTCAGTGGTCAACCCACTGGCGTTGGCTGATGCAACTTCCCAAATAAATGAAGCGGTTAACACTCTCCACCACCTCACCTTATCTTTAAGCTAGGAATCAGTCGATGTTGTCCAGTCCAGTCCTGTGGCACCATCTCACATTTGACAGCAGGAGACAATTGCTCGCATGCCAAAGATTTGAAGATTACTCACTGCTCAAGCTGTTTATAAGACTCCGCATTTTGTTAGCGTCTTCACCTAGGAACGAGGAGTATATCATCTCCATCATGTAACTCAACGAGATTATTCCCTGGTAGCAAGTCAATCCCTGAGTCACTGAAGTCAGTTAGGGTTAAGTCCATTAAGTACATGTATGATGAAATTAAGGCAACCATATCACGTTGAAAGCACCGGCTATCGTCCGATCACCGAAGTTAAGCAACATTGGGCTTCCGTTAGTAAGTGCATGGGTGAAAGGCTGAAAATACCGGCTGTTGCCGACCTTAGTGCATCAGTGACACCGTGGTTAGGACGCTCGCCGACCATGCACAAGGTCAGTGGTTCGATCCCCGGCCGACGCCAAACTCCTTTACCTCGCTAAGCCAGAAATAAAGCTGGTGAAGAGGAAAGGGTGAGCATGAGGTTAGCCACCGCATGCTGTGAAAAAACCCTGTATACAGAAACTTCATGCCTTCATGTTTGTTAACTATCATCGAGAAGTGAAGAAAGAAGGAAATCGCAACACGTTCGCCATTGATTACGATTCTTCGCCATATCCGATAACGTTTCCAGACATCGATTTGAGCTATCTCGCGGACCCCAACCACAGAGTCGTGACGCACCAACCGATGCTAATCTATCACAACCATCCTTCATCCCACGATGCCACGTCACGGACTGACCACTCCTGCATCTTTTCCATCCCGACCCAGGGTTAGCGAACAGAGACCTGTACGGAAGCCTCTGGGATGACATTCGCAGCACATGTATAAGCCACCGAAGGCTGTGTTTCCAGATGATGACACTCAATGAATGGTGATCTTCACTGTGTTCAGACACACGCCGTCGAACCTCAGAATTACTCACGCGATGATGCCGTCGAATGCAAGTAATTCAGTAGAAGACAGTGATGATCGAATACCCAGAGCCGCAGCACATCCTCAGCTCGGAGAGGCCAGGTTTCACAAGCGTGGAGCCCACACCGAAGCATTGTATACCCGACCTTTGATAGCCAGGCTATCGTCGCGACGGTGCCAGAGGTAGCTCAAGTTGCTGTATGCCACCCTAGCCTTCATTATACCGTTGGAAATCTCATCCGTCACCCCTCCGCCACCACTCACACAACTACCCACCCAGGTACACAAACTTATCAACAGCTTCAAGCGAGTCACTCGCAAGAGTGAGTGCAGTAACAGTACCTTCCACTTAGACGGCGTAAAGTACATACCATACTTACAAACACTGATCGCCAACAGATTAAGTGCGATTTGGGCGGCCTGCATGCTATCACACAGTAAGACGATATCGTCTGCATACTCGAGGTCGAAAACTCTATCTCCAGGTAGCAGATCTACACCACCTTCACTCACATCATTCATAGCTAACTCCAGAATGTCATCGATGGCAAAGTTAAAGAGAAATGGAGAGGTCGGGTAACTCTGTCTAACCCCACTGTTGGTTAGGAACAGTGATGATAGTTGGTTGTATGTCCTCACTCTACCTGAGGTGTTTCCGTATAAGGCTTTCAAGATGTTAACAAATTTTTCAGATACACCTCTCTCTAACAGACAGTTCCAGAGCACATCTGTCAGACGAATCGAAGGCAGCCCTAATATCACGAAACACAATGATCGTTGGCCTGCAATATGTGTGGCAGTGTTTGGACAACTGACGAAGGGTGAACACATAATCAATGCATCCACGACTTGAACGAAACCCAGCCTACTCTTCGCGAATCAATCCCTCACGTATTTTGCACAGCCTTCGAAGTAAGACAGCAGTTAATATTTTAGACATAACTGGTAGCAGACTGATACCCCTATGACTGTCACGTGAATTACGTCGACCTTTTTTAAAGATGGGTAAAATGCAGCAATATATGAAGTCACATTTTCCTTTCGCAGAATCTCATCTTGATAAGTGCATACCAGCTGAGATATCAGATAACCAGGAAACGAATCCTACATATGAATATATGAAATGTACATTAAAAAAAATTTTGTATTACACAATGCAAGATACGCTTCAACTTGTCACTTACATTTAACTGTTTATCTTCAAACATTAATGGGATATACAACCGTCGACCAGAAAGAGGAAAATACACCTGATTAATACGATCACGTTCACAAGCATTTGCATGCCTTAGAGTACCATTCGACTCTCTGACAACAATCAGGCGATTTTTACGATTACGCTTTAAAGTTGTATCTGTGAAAACCAATTTAATATTCCCAGGTAGGAGACCTTGAAGACCACTATCCTGTGATATGATCTGATCGTCAACAATACGTCTTGGCTGCAGCACGGGTGGCATTTGTAATTTTTGTTCTGTATAAACTGAAGTATATTTTTTGACCTTAATAAAAATTAGGGATAAAATAATTTAAAAAAGTTGGAATTCACTTACTATATTCAACTCAGCATCGGTCAGGAGTTTAATATTCTCCCTACCAAACTTTTTATGAGTTTGTTGATGAACTGCCTCTGTATCTGTGTGAGTGATCAGGCGTAAAAGATTATGAATTTGTGGATTTGTGAATAGATCTTGAAGATTCCTGGAAACTTGATCATTATTGTTATTCTTTTTTAGCAAGTCTAAAGGCTTAAAACATGTAATGAATGATATATTACCTGCACAGTGTAGTCGTGTGGTGGTAAACAATGTTCTCACCTTGTGCATACTTTATGTTTGTGTATATATATGTTGATGATCACAGAAGGAAAAGGCGAATGAAATCTGAGATGAAATATTGGAGTAGAATGTGCTAAGTAAATAATAAAAACAAATGTGTCCTCAAGCATCCATAATTTCTGACCTATTAAGCAAAAATGTGTAAGATATAGTTAGATATATATAACAGGAAAATGGGGAACATTTCAAAAAATTTGACACTTTTTTATCACTGATAAAATACTTACTTACTTTACTTTACTTCGGCTATCTCCTACGGGAGGATGAGCCGGCTTCATGAACATGAGTTCATGAAGTTTCATGGGAATTAGGTACGAGTAATGTTCCCAGAATCGCTCGGCCTTTTGTTTCAGAGTGCAGCTCTAGCCTTTACACAACCAAGTATGACCTACAAGGCAGTAGGAGTGGAGTAGAGAGTTCACTATCCATTGGCAGCCGGTGACCGGAGTTCGGTTCATACGCCTTTTTGAATGGGGCCAGACATCCAGGACATCCAACAAGCCCTTTGTTCATAGGTCTGCCGGTGAGCTCCGGTGAGCTTCATACGCCAGTCGTTGGAGGTTTGGAATCAGGGTTTAGCCATCTCCCCTAGACTGTCATCCAATGGACAGTCAACCCGGTGAAGAGCGCCGGGCATCCGCTTCTGCCCTCTCACTTCGGTGAAAACACCTCCGCCACGTGAAGGCATTCAGTAGGACTTTCTCAGGAGAGGCTATGTAAGACGCCCGGTCATATGGGAGCATTTCAAGAGGTATGCGGAGGGGTGGCCAACCCGCAGCGCAAGGCAACCACCCCCGACCATCCTGTGGCTTTGGAGGCACTGATAAAATAGATGATATAGAAAATACACCACAGGTATTGTTGGTCTGCATTCTGATTTACGTCAAATTTAGTATCAAGCCACTTGTTGTACTGAGTGCTGGATAAAATCCAGACAGCTATACGACACCAAGAAATGAAGATTTCAAAGTTTTTGTTGAGTTTTCTGTCTGTTTTCAACATAAAACAACTTTGCACCGATTTGCACCAGTTCAAGTCACCACACTCCATGTAACAAAATGCCAGAGTAGAAAGTAAAAAAAAATACATGATAGAGACAGTAAACAGAGGTGTGAGACAAGGGAATAGTAATAACGATTATTATTTATTTATTTAAACACAGAAAAAACTTGGTACAATATGGCACTAAGAAAGATGCGCCACACAATGTTGTGTGAGGGCTGAGATACTGCCCGGGTGCCCAGACGGAAGCAGGTGATTTCCTTAAGGGACCACCCCCGGAGCCTTTGACTTGGAGTCTAGTCCGCAAGGCAGCGGAGCAGCGTCAGGAGCTGCATTCCCATGGTTTCCTGTGACCCATATGGGTTCATACGCCATTTGATCCGATTGGATTCTGGAGCCCATGTACCCCATGGTAATTGCTTTTAGTCTAACCGCTATCCAAACAACGTTTTTGACATGGTAGGACCTTCAAGGACATGAGTCCCAGGCAGTTTAGCTTGTTGGGTCACTGCGGTATTCAAGCCCGACCACCACGGCAGGGTAGCAGTTGTCGAACGGGAGTAATAACGAAGAACAATACAGTTTTATAATTTATAAGTGGAAGACAATACGAAAGCTATAGAGGGTGGCATATGATTATGATTTTCCTTCCCTTGGATTTTAACTGGGACATGGGACTTCAACTCTATGGCCTAATTTACCTCTATTCTCCCTCTGCTATTTGTTTCAACTAGATCCACAATTGCCACAACCTTTCATTCAACTCCTTCCCAACCCCCCGAAAAAATGATCTCCGTGTCACACTCATACGACCAACTACTTATTGCCTCTTATTCGGCTTCCACTCGGCGGAGTGGCGTGTGATGTCACTCAATCACAGGTGGTAAGCAAATAATGAATGATACTTCTGTCGATGTTGACATGCTTAATAAATCCTTCATATGTATCCCTGCAGATGTTATGATTCCTAACTCTAATAGTGTAAATAATGACTGCTTCTCATGCTTTAATACGAATGATGTCCTTAAGTGTCTTCAATCTCTCAAACCTACTCAGTCCCTTGGTCCTGATGGTGTTCCTGCTGTTATCCTTAAGAAGTTTCCTGACATCTTATGTTCCCCATTAACCGACATTTTCAACGAATCTTTTTCCAAAAGTATTATACCTGAATCATGGAAAAATATCAAGATTGTTCTAGTGCCTAAATCAACAAGTGGACCTAGTGTTAACTTTAGACCCATTGCCATTACCTCACGTTTTTTGAAAGTTATGGAAAGACTTATTTCACTTAATCTTGAACCCTCTTTAAACCCTTTCAATGACTCCAACCAGTTTGCTTATAAGTATAGTAGGTGTACCTTAGATGCCGCTGTTGTCCTACTTCATAATATAGTCTCTAGTTTAGATAGGGGAGCTAAATACGTTCGCTGTGCCTTCCTCGATTACACATCTGCAGTTGACTCTGCACCTAGGTCTCTCTTGTTAAGTAAGCTTGCTGACACACAGGCTAAGAGCTGCACAAGCAAGTGGCTGCATTCCTATTTTTCCGATAGGAAGCAGTACACCGTCTACAATGGAAAGTCCTCCACTGCCTCACTTCTGTCTGTCTGTCTGGATTCAACATAGAACTTGGCACCGAAGTGCAGCAGTTCGAGTTGCCACGTTCCAAATAGCCCACAGAGGTAGACAAGAAGATGAGTGAAGAGAATTAATAGAGTTTGACAAGTATAAGAGTGAAACAGAATGGGTAATGGTAGAAAGGAATATGAAAGATTACAGAGACTGAATACATCTGCGCCATTGACAACGATTTTGAGCCATGTCACCTATTGTCTCCAGCCATTGATTCCTAGAGTCCCGAGGGCCCCAACCCGGGAGTCTGCATCTCCCTACCTGACTCAGTTTAACTGTCAAGGATTTCATGGATTGATGCCATGTTTTTGTTTGGCCACCATTGGCTCTTTTCCAACCTGAACCTATATCAGCTAGCAAAGCCCGTCGGGGGAGGCGGTGGTTAGGCATGCGCACCACGTGACCTAGCCATCTTAGTCTATGTAACTTTATAGCTTCGTCGATTGATTTTCCCTCTTTGCCCAACACTCTACGCCTAACATCAACATTACTTATCTTGTGAAACCACCTAACGTGAGACAGAGATCGCAGACATCTATGATCGAAAGCAGTCAACCTTTTCATGTCTTCAACGCGTATTGGCCATGTTTCAGAGCCATAGAGAAGGACGGGGCGAACTGCTGAGCAGTACACACGTCCCTTGGTTGATAACCGGATGTCACGCCTACGCCAGAGATGGTGTAAGTCAGCGAAAGCAGCTCGAGCTTTTCGGATCCGTGCTGAGATTTCATCGCCAATCAGTCCGTTGGTGCTAATACAACTTCCCAAGTAGGTGAAGTGGTCAACATGTTCTATCACTTCCCTCCCTATCACTAAGTTAGGGGTTGACGTAGTCCAGTCCTGTAGCAGCATCTTACATTTTGCAGGGGCGAATCGCATGCCAAACATACGAAGATTGCTGCTCAAGGTGTTCAGAAGACTCTGCATTTTTTCAGCATCCTCCCCTAACAGGACTATGTCATCTGCATATTCTAAGTCCATTAGATTATACCCTGGTAACAAGTCGATTCCTAAGTCACTACGTTCAGTTAAGGATACTTCCATTAGCATACCTATGATGAAGTTAAACAGAAATGGGGAAAGTGGACATCCCTGTCGGACACCACTGGTTGTTACCAATTCAGACGACAATTCCCCATAAGCCCTTACACGACTACGTGAGTTTGAATAGAGTGCCTTGATTAGTGCAACGTACTTTCTTGGCACTCCCTTCACAGTCAGACATTGCCATAGTACCTTTCGATCCACGGAGTCGAAGCCTGCCTTCAAGTCAAGAAATATGACAATTGTACTGCCTCACTTACTTTAGCTGGTGTTCCTCAAGGTGCTGCTCTTTCTCCTTTTCCATTTTCTTTTTTCTTACATGACTTGCCCCATTCTGATGTAGCTACTTTTGTTAAGTATGATGATGACCTCTCTGTTTCAATGCCTGTCAATTCTCAGTCAGATTGTTCCAAATTAAAGAACTTTCTGTCGGAATTTAGTCAGTGGTCCTCTTCAAACGGTCTTAAGCTGAATCCATCTAAATGTCAGGTAGTCAATTTCACTTTCAGATGTAAACGTGACCTACAACAACCCGCTATCATTGACGGCATAGAGGTTGAAAATACATCTAATTTCAAGTATCTTGGGCTGAGTTTCTCCACCGGTCTTTCCTGGTCCTCCCACATCTTGCTAGTTACTAGAAAGATGTTTCGCTTAGCGTTATACGTCAGGAAGTTTAGGCAATCTGGTATAAAGCAGTCTTTGCTTTCTCTGTTTGTCAATTCTTGTATTCTACCCATCCCCCTTTACTGCTCCCCATTAATCTTTCCTGGACTACTTAAGAAAGACTTTGCTTTGCTGAAAAGGGCACTAAAAGCCGTTAGTAGGGCAAGTGGAATATCGTTAAATCATTATTGTGTGCCATGTTACCTAGTTTTTGGGACATCGACAGGTAGAATAGCATGAAATGACTTGATGCTTTGGCTTCCGCTATATGTAGATTAGTCACACCTACTCCCTACTTTAAACAAGCAATCACTTAAACACTCATTGCTCAATAGAATGGGAATATTCATTATGTAGAAACATCCAGTAAAGGTAGGTACCACCTCAATGGCACAAAGCACAATATACTGCAAAGTAAACGCTTTATGCTATCCCATAACCAAAAAGTTCGAAACTCCCCAGGTAGCACAACTGTGCTACAACAAATAATTGTATTTGGAACCATGTCAAAAGTTCAACTATAAGGAAAGTTTTAGTAAAAACTGAGATGATACACTGCCTTGTTAGATTTGCACACCAAGTGATGATTGGGACAGCTAAGCAGTCATGTTAACCAACATGGGTCATCAGCTTAAGCAGTCGACTTTCAGATGATGAATCCCGAGTTCGAGTCTCACTTCACCTACTTCAGACAAAACAACTGGGTTGTATTACCAAACACACATTACACTAAATGTGGCTAATAGAGTGATACAACTAAATTAAAACAAAAGCAATGCCCGGCCATCAGTGTAAAACTTCACATTAGTGTGTTTGTCTGTTAGAATGCCATAAAACATAACTAATTATTCGAGCACCTGGTAAAATGTAAAAAAATATCTCCAAAATTAAACATTCTAGATTTCCTCATCAATTTGTGAAGACCTGAAACTAACTTAAAGCATCACATCAATGCAATTAAGCGATCAGCCCTAGTGTATAGCATTGGAGTTTGTTTAAGACCATGATCCACCGGTTGAAAGTTGAATCGATTATTTAGCATCACAGCTTCTGATGAATTTCACAAGATTTCTAAAGAAAGAATTAAGTTATTGTTTCAAAGTAAATGGAGAAACACCAATACCTCTACTGACATACAGACAAATCTCGTACGGACCTCATTACAAACTGAAAAATATAGCTATACAGTTTCTCAAAACCTTGCTCTTAACCTTAGAGAAAGTAAAACTATATTGGCTCTGACTTCAGTCAAATCTTACTCCATACAATCCGGACTTCACAACCATCTAGTACAAATAACTACAACACATCAAGTATGACTAAAAGGCCAAATGACTAAATAAACTATGGTTAAATTATATTATGCTCCTCAAAATCCCTACTAGGTATTTGCTCTATTAGAAGAGTTGAGTAGGCAAGGGAAAATACTGACGTCATTAAAACTTGTGTTAAATGAGTTGACGTGTTTTCAAGATGAAAGACCCTCAGCAAGCATATAACACACATTACAGACTTTGTACTTCATAGTAAGGACTCCTATAGTCACCAACTTACGGCTATGACCTAAACTATGTGTATTTTCCCCTAAAAAAAACGGTGGTTTGCAACAATAGTGTGATGTCAAGTCGTTTCCAAAAGCCTTTCATACGATTTAGACATCAAAACTGTATATTAACTTAATAATCTTAAAAACCTTCAGGCTTCATCATTATGATCATTGTGTCAGACTGGTTTCAACGCAAAACTTTGCAAAGATGTGCACCAGTCCCACTTACCACACTTCACTGAGCACACAAAGCAAGAGAAGTAGAAAGATATGCGAAACAGAGATGAGGCAAAAGAATAGTAATATCGAAAAACTATGTAATTCTACTGGATATTACAAGTCACAGAGAGAGTAAATGCATCTCCACCGGCCATTGACAACGACAATTTTCAATCATATCACCAATTGTCTCCAGACATTGGTTTTTACCGTCCCAAGGAAGTTCACACCTCCCCACCCGACCGACTCAAGCTATCTGTTGTGGATTTCATTGACTGATGAACCCATGGTTTTGTTTGACCAACACCGGCTCTTTTACAACCTCATCCATCCTATGTCACTCAGCTAACATTGCCCGTCATCGAAGAAGGAGATGGATAGGAATAAGTAACACATGTCCTAACCATATCTGTCAATCCATACAACTTCACAACCACCTTGTCGATTGATTTTTCCTCCAACTCACCAACCACTCGACCCATGCCTGACCTCAATATTGCTCACCCTATTATACCACCACCAACCACCTAACACACACACGGGAGATAGAACGCAAGCACCTGTGATCAAAGACAGCCAGTCAGGCTGTTTATATCTTCCATTTTCAATGACCATGTCTCACTCACAGACATAAAGGAGGACGGAGCGAAGTGGTGCTGAGCAGTACACACGTCCCTCGGCCGATAACCGGCCAGATATCACTTCTACGCCAGAAATGGTGTAAACTAGCATATGTGAAACGAACCTTTTGTATCCGTGGTGTGATTTCGTCACACAATAGATAGCCCACCTAATAATTAAGATTTTTGTTATTAATGCAACCAATGGTCACCTACATTCTGATGGGCCAGTAGACAGCTTTAGATGTTAATCGATCTGGCATTAGAATGAAACCCTGTATGAAATTAATATGTAACATTATGATTTTTAATTTAGTTACAATACAACTTTATCTATGCCTTAAATTAGCAGAAGCTTCCTTCTACTACGACTAATGTTTAGTTTATTGTCACATTTGAGGACTGAAAACCGTTATCATTTTCTTAGAGTCCACTGAATACACTGCACTTTAGAAAGTGGCACAGCTGTCTGCAGTCTGCGTCAAAATTATTGCTTGGGTAATAACTACTTGTCTCACTTACTCAAACAGAAGATTTTTCGAAATGTGGAGGATATGGAAGCAATGCAAAGTCAAGTTGTAAGGAAATACAACGTTCTTCACCAAAACCGAAAATTCCGTGCAGTGCGAGCCCCTTCGACATTACCCTCAGAGATCAATAAGTGCTTTTCTCGCTATTACATACATCTCAAATGCGGAATTTAATTTTTAACTGCTCTAGTATGCGAAGTAGTGCCTGCAGAGATTAAAGAACTGCAATAACTGGAATACGATGAAAATAAGTCGAAGATTTTCTGGCTTTAATGTTCTGTATACATCAAGCTGTGTCACCGTGCTTCTAAACAACCAAATCTACATCAATGAAACCGCACAAGGAGAACAATGATGTAAAGAAATCACCTTGAACTCGTTATTTGAAGCTGGGTACCTGACTGTTTCGAGGTCACTGGAAGAAAATGAAGCAGAGAGGTTGGAGTTATCCGTCACTTTGGTTGAAACTTCACTTGATAAATTTATTATGTCAATAATTTTCAATAAAAATGTGTTATACGTTTTCCGGATTGATAGGAATTCTCATTTCCTGACTAGTCATGTTGATGTCTGCGTCTTGTGACCTGACTGCGGCACACTATTAGCATATAAGTTGAGATGATTAGTGTTTCAGGCGGACTGTGTCAAAATATTGCTATAATGAGTAACATGGGATAGTCGGAGGGTAATCTTATCTACACAAATAGTCTACTTTAGGTAGAAATTGCACCTTTTGGCATAGTATCACTTAATGAAGACTTCACGTCTCAGGATGTCACCGCAGCCTATTTTCCTGTGAAGAACAGAACTGTTTGACAAACGAATGCTAGCAGTACATGGAAATTACCTATAAATGCTAACAGAACCTTCTGTGGGAACAGAAGTTATCATGTAGATGTGTCTTTCACTATACGTGTGTTTGGATAGGAATTATCGTAAGTTGAAATATGTAAATGTATGTAATATGTATTTGCACTGATTGGTGCAGTGTGACATAGGTTATATTGATTTAGTGTATAAAAAACATCTCTTCTTATAACTACTTTGCCGTTGTCTGCTTAGCTGACTGCCAGGCTAACAAATGAATGTGGTTCGCATGATTGTTGCAAGTGCAGTGCAGTGAAGAAAGCTGTATCACTTAGTGCATTAATTCAGTGTACGATATTATTATACACATAGATTGCGTTGATTATGAGAATTAAATCTATTTAACTCTATTATTGTCAATCCTCTGTCTGCTAAATCGTTTCCACTGACTCTATATACTTAATATCTATGCTCCCACGTTTTTGATAACCAGTATCACGACTGAATATCTAGGCTGCATTATATAGCTTTATTATCCTCATCAGCTTAATAGGTATGTGTATCTTGTAATATTTAAAGTATTTCTCTATGTTGTTAACACTGCACATTGATGTTTGGCGTTGAGACAAGTTCAGCTAATCTTTGATGGCTATAGCTTCATAAATATGCTAACGTAATTTCTTTAGGATTTACAAAACCATGTTCACTAGACATTACTGAGATCATGGATTAATTTCTTGGTTTTCGGAGAATTCATTTTCTTAGCTGTACAATCGCATATATATATGGTTGTTTTATATGCATGTGTACATTAAGTTTGTCAAACAAAATTACAATTGGTTATGGTTATTTTAACTATAAGTCGAGAAAATTATGTGTTAATGAAATTAGATTAGTAACAAAGGTGATGAGTTGTCATAAACGGTTGTTAAAAGAAGTTTTGTAATAATATGAATAGTTTGATGAGTGAGTTTTACTCATGACGCGCATAGAAACAAAATAGATAATCCGAAATTACGTAAGAGTTCTGAATGAACACAAGAATTCTGAGCAATTAAAGAACAGGCAAAGAAATAAAATAAGGTCGTCAAAATAAAAAAACTCAAATCAAATCAAAACAAAAAAGTTGTCACCATGACAGTGGAGGTGGTTGATCAATCTTCTTTTGCATGTACAGCTCCGATTTTTCTCTGTGAACGGCCAAAGTATTCGCGGTACAGAGAAGACGAAACCGTATTGCCTTTGATAGGTTATTCCTGACTCGGTAGATTACTTTGAAGGATGCGTTTGTTGAAACGGAATGATCGGTGATAACCAGATGTTCAATCATTGCACACATTATTGCACCACTAATACGTTTTCGCAAAAATGCTGGATAGTTTTCTCGAATCCTCTTGGACAAGGTGTCAAGGAACTTATCCCTAAGTTCCTATTGTTACGAAGACGCTCCGCACCGGTAAATTCTATGTACTTCCTTAGACTTTAACTCCAATACACCAGTATTGTGAGCAGGAAGAAACATTGTTTGGCCACTCAAGCGGAGAATAATACAAGTCTATAAACAAATGTTTTATACGAAATTACTATTACTACTTTTATTTGCTTTCGTTCGTTTTCGTCGAACTTGTACACGACCGAACCATTCGCGCCTTCGAGTTGCCCACCAATGGCTACCAGTCCCAAAAACAAACTTTCAATGTTCACGTCCATCGACGCAAGCTGCGCGTTGGACAAACGATGTACTTGGCTCCACAGCAGCAGGGTAACTGGTACATGCACACAGAAGTGGTCAGATGCGGGATCTTGTTTTTGAGGCTTCTGCAGATCAGTTGGTAACCGAAGATCACTACTCTTAGGGTTGCTGCAAAGAATGTTCTTCTCAGATATGATGTGATCCTTCTCTTGAGAATATCGCTTGCTTAATCTTCATTGAAATCCAAGTTCATGCAGAATTTCTTTTTAGGCGCAATTAAAGTTTCGTTTCTCCGAATTATTGGCTTGATATTTTTGACGATGAATCTTATTGGGTATCCATTTTTGGATGAAGATTTCTCTTAGAATATCTAATTCTGTTTCCAGAACGTCGGGACTACAGATGCTTATAATCCCCTAACCCTGAAGAACAGGCGAGGTCTATTTATGCATATGGCATCAATATGAAAACCAGCTGTGGACTACAAATACTTTTATTTGCATGAGAAATTTACTTGATATTGATAGGGTCAGTGTATCTACTTTGCATGCTCATAAGCGTATTTAGCTTTTATGACTTCATGTTGTGCTAGTCCTTATATATCCTTTAGGTTTTCGGGGTATATTGAGGTTTTCGGATCTGAAATCAGAGAACGTGTCGGTCAGTCAAACTAACGCTTATACACTACATCAGAATTTTGCTTTTTTAAATCAATAAGATTCTAAGCCACATCTCATAAACCGTTTATGCCCAGCTCTTGCTACGCTGGGACTCACGCTGTTCCTTGAAGTTTCTCAGAAACGCTTAGTAATAACGGAGGGAAAAACCAAATCACCGATTGGCCGCTCAAGAATTCTTTATTGTAACACAAACATATGGCCCACCTTAAAATTAAGCTTCAAAACTAAGGTTTCTGACGGTTTTGTCCTGACTCCATTCTAAACAGCGACCGATGAGACGATGACTGGTGTATTGATGGCTGCGCGAAAATTAGGGAAGTTGGTTTTGAGCAAACAACCATGAATTGATCGTTCAATCTACAACTACATTGAAACTGCCTGTCAAAATACGGATCCATTCCTTCTTTCCATCACGACCAATACATGTTGACTTGGATGCGAGAACCTGGGTCACTCGGACAGAGCTGAAATGGAAAACAAACAGAAAAGCCAACACACCACAAGCATACCCACAGCACAATCTCACACATCAATGACGACCTACAACTTCCGGTTAAAGGCCCCCTCTTGACATCTTGTAACATAATCGCCACTTGCTAGAATGACTCTTGCAGAATTCGACGTGACCATAGCAGCACGTCATGATACTCTACGCACGTCCTCGTATCTACTCACTACCAATTACCACTGCAATCGCTTGTCACTCATTCTGCCTCAGTTCTAGTAACGGCGACATATAATAATAATATATTCTCATTTTTTACATGAGGGACGCCAGTTTACAAGCATCATCAATATGATAAATTATATATACGATTACCAATTGTACTTAGTATTAATGATTTAATAAAATACAAATTTTTTCCTACCTGTGTAGGACCCACCAAATGTACAGGCATGGATAAGCATTATTTAAATTTCATAAATTTGGTTTATGGTTAAATTACATGGTTGCTGACGTTTTTGTCTTTGGTTTGTGGGAACAATATGATAACCAGTCATTCAATGGAGCATCATGAAATATAGGAATATTGACTTCGCATTAACAAAAAAACCCAAGTAAGTTTTGGATGGATTAAAAATACTTGGGAAAAAATAAAGCTTGAAGTAATTCCTCAATATAACTTGGGTGTGTACAAATCCGAATCTCATTTTTGATTTATATCCAAATTGGGTAATAAGGAAGCTATTTTTACAGATACGATCAGTTATGTTATAAGCTACAATCGTGACGTTGTATTACAAATTGATACTTTTCCATTGGTATAAGAGTATATTCCACAAATGTAATCCAGGTTGCGTCGTGGGGAAAGTTAATTCGTTATTAACCAGGCAACTGAAAGATACGGGACCAATAATGTTTGCAGATCATTTGTCATTGTAAATGGTCAAATATCCACATTATTCATTCTCATTCAAAAAGTCAAATGGAAGCTGAAATGGTGAGAGAAAAAAAACAACAGCAACGCAAAAGAAAGCAAGGGGAGTCCTTAAGGAGTGATTAATAAATATATACACATATATTCTGTTTAGTAACTATGGTTATTTTTGTTCACAAACTAACTAGTCCCGTTATGCTAACTTTTATATTATGTGTAAACTAATATTACTGTCCTGTGTAGAAATGTTAATCATCTAGTTCCAATAATATTAAAATTTATAATTGTAGTTTGTTGTAACTACACGTTTAAAGAACTTAAAATATCTATGTAGGGTGAAAAAGAAGGTGTAAGAGTCAGACGTAAAGTGCATTGTCATCTTTGAGCAGTCTGGTGACTGAGGAGATGAACACTGGAAGTGTGTTTGCATCGCGCACATTAGCTGGTAGTCTATTCCAAATGACTGAAAACTTATTTAAGAAGAAGTTGTACCGCACGTAAGTCTGACAGTGCTCTATAGCAGCTAGGTTGTGATGATTTCTAAGATTGTAACTGATGACAGCGGTAGGTTTAGTTATTGGCTCGGAGGAATGCAAGAGAAGATTAGTTAGCTTATAGTAAAAGATAAGGTTTAGCTTAAGGCGTCTTTTCCAGAGGGGTTCTAATCTTAGTCTTTCGCATCGCTCATGGTATTCCAGACCACTTTCTAAACCAAGAGTTCTTGAGGTAAACTGCCGTTGCACTCCCTCTAATTTAAGCTTGTCATTTTGTCTGAGTCCGCTAAGAATAAACGGGCAGTATTCTAAGATAGGTCGGACACATACTTTGTATAATAAAACCCTAGTTTCACAACAAAAGAAATTGCGTGTTATGCATCCTATCAGCCTTCGC